CCCAGAGAAGCGGTGGCTGCCCCATCCCTGGCAGTGTTCAAGGCCAGGCTGGACACAGGGGCTTGGAGCAATCTGCTCTAGTGGAAGGTGTCCTTGCCCGTGGCAGGGGTTGGAACTGGATGATCTTAATGTCCTTTCCAACCCAAACCAGTCTGGGATTTTGTTTCCTCCTGGGAGGAGCCTGAAAGGTAGAAAGAACCACTCATCAGGGGTTGCTGGGACCTGCTGCCCTGGCAAATGAGCTCCTGGCCACTGAGGTGTATGCCTGTCTTCTTTACCAAGTCAGAAACATCACAAAAATGCTGCTTCCTGGTCTCAGGAATGTCCCATCTCCCTGGCGTACACTGGGGGATGCTCTGGGGCTTTCTGCAGTGAGGAAGAAATGAGGTTGCTCACAGGAAAGGGCTGTAATTTGTAGCTTCAGTGGATGATTTAGAGGAGGGAGGTTGTTAGTTTGTCATCATCATGATCTGTTTGTGCCAAACACTCAGCACAAAGAATTCCAGGGGTTATATAAACTCTGACTAACCAGGAAATACTGTCCCTTCCACCTTTAAAGCCTGCCTCTGAAGGAGCAAAGGCACCCTCTTCCCAATAAGGGTCTTCAAGGGGGTTTTAAGTCTGTTCTTCTGCATCAGTACCAGCATCATTATCTATTTGTAGGATTTTACATCTCACGATCATCTTGGAAGAACCTGCCTTGACTGGATTAAACTCGTGATGGAAAGACATCATTTTGGGCTGGTTTAATTCACCCTAGCTGGTGGTGAAGCCAGGGCATGGGAACAGCATCTCATCTGGCTGGTCTCCACTCAGAATTGCTTGTTAACAATTAGGGAAACTGGCACAAATCCATGGCTGTATCCGTGTCCAGGAGCTGTGTGTGGAGCTGGGGTTGTGAGGAGCACCCAGCATTCTCCCTCCATTAGATGTCCATCAGAAGCAAATTAAACCCCATGAACGTGTGTAGTTGGGCAATGCATCCTTGCAGGCAGGCTCCCTGCTCTGTGCAGCACAAATCACACATTTCCTGTTGGCACAGTCATTGCCATGGGGGTGTTTTTGCAGCCACACAGTGCTGCCAGAGCACAGGAGACAAGCGATCATGCTGAGCCCTTTATTGGGGGGTATAATTTGCAATCCCTGTGTGTTGTATAGGGTCTGGTTAATGTAGCTGTGTTCACACTGCTCACTTTTCCATTCCCAGGGTGCTGTCCGAGTTCAGCAAAGCCAAGCCAAGCCAGGAAGCCCCGGAGGGACAGCCGGTCCCCAGCGTGCTGGGCTGCTCCCCACTGCCACCTGCCTGCCCCACAGCCATGTCACCCACCCTCCTGGCACTGCCCCATGGAGTTCACCAGCAGCTACCCCCCACCACGGACAGTCCAGGCTCTGCTGGGATGGGTGATGTGGTGACCACTGGTGATGGAGGTGGAGATGGAGCGCAGGCAGCCAGTGTTCCAGCCACACGGCGTGGTAGGCCCAGCAGAGAAGAGCCAGGCGGGAGCAGCACAGGCAGCAGCAGTGAGGCAAACCAGGCAGTCTGCAGCCCAACAGCCGAATACCTCCTTTCCCCACTGCTGGGTTGTCCGGTAGGTGTTACAGCTCACTTGCTATCCATCTCCTTGGTTTTATGCTTCCTGAGCAGTAGATGGAATCATAGAATCCCACACTGGTTTGTGTTAAAGGGACCTTAAAGCTCATCCAGTTCCAACCCCCTGCCATGGACAAGGTCATCTTCCACACAGCTTCTCTCCTCCAGGCTGAACAGCCCCAGTGTTCTCAGCCTGTCTTCATACAGGGGGTGCTCCAGACCCTGATCATCCTTTTGGCCTCCTCTGGACTTGCTCCAACAGCTCCATGCCCTTACACTGGGGACCCCAGCACTGCACACAGTGCTGCAGGTGGGGTCTCATGAAAGCATATATGTAATGGAAAAATAGAAGAGAGATAATGGAAAAGGAAAATAAAACTGGTGAGAGATTCTGAGGAAGCACTGGTCTCTCCAACTCTTCCCAGAGCAGGATGGCATTCCCTGGTGCTTAGCCTAGCAGGAACAGCAGCGGATTTCCCCTCTTGCTGCTGAGGAGTTGATCCACTTGCTTTTGCTTTTAGGAAACTCTTTGAACAGCCCCATCCTCTGTCTCATTTGTTACTGACTTTTCCATCCTGGTTCCCATTGTTTCCATCCTGGTTCCCATCATTTCCATCCTGTTGAGGTTAGGATATACTTCATACCTCCCCCCCACCCCAAAATGGTTTCTCTTTTTGGTCTCTGCTCCTTTCAGCTGCCTCCCAGTTATCCCATTTCCGCTGCTTCCTCATGGCACTGGGCCAGTTTGACCTAATCTATGTATAACATACGGTGTCAACAGGAAATTCCCCCCTGCTTCCGCATGACTCACGGGGCAACCTGCATTCCTGGTCTGGGAGCTGCAGCACAAGCCACCCGTGCTCCTCACTGCAGGGACGTGGCAGCTTTTCTGTTCTCATTTAGTTTGTTATTAAGAATACAGGACTCTTCGAGAGTAGCTGAGAGGATGTTCCTGGTGGGATGCAGCCCTGGAAGGGATGTGCTGAGTCTAAGGAAGCTCTTCCTTTTTACTGGAACACTGAGCTGGGTTGTGTTTTGCTCCTGGTGTTTGTTCAGGAGCAAAAACCTTGTCCCGGAACTATTGAATGGTTTGGGTCGGAAGGAACCTTAAAGATCATCTAGTTGCAGCCCTCACTTTGTTCTTGTAGCCATAAAAACTCCTGGAGAAGTTACAGCCATGTCTCCTTTCAGCTTAACCAAGCTTTCTTCTGCTTGTGGGTCTCATCCCTTGCTGCGCAGAAACAACGGTTTCCTCTACCTTCTCTGTCCTACTTTTTGCCTGTTCTGGTCGGACCTGGTGTTCATAGCATTAGTTTGTAAGCTGTAGGTCTCTATTTCGCCATGGACATCATCCCTGTACTTGTCCCATCTCTATTCTTCCTGGATCGAGGATGGCACCACCACACCAGCGAACTCAGACCCTTCATGGGAGAGCTGATTTTTCACCATACTTCATGGACCAAATATCCTGTATGTGGTGCCTGCAGGGAAGGTGCTCTCCCTCTGATGATCATCCCTCCTCGATGGTTTTAGGGGGAGGGAACTGAGCAGTTTTGGACTTTTATAATCCCAACAGTATGTGATGCCAGTATTTGCCAGCTGCCGGTACAGTTCCAAGGAAGGGTCACTTTGGGGGGGATGTTTGAGGGGCACAGGACGTTTGATAAGTTGGATGATTAATTTGTGGGAGTTGTTTTTAAATAGAAAAGGAAGAGCTGGATCTCAGAAGATGATTTCTACAGACCTTCCCCAGGAGAAAGCAGTGAAACCACAGCCAACACCAACAGCTTTGGCCCGGAGGGGGCTGGTGAGGGCCCTGCCCCAGGACTCATCAGTGCTCTTGACTTGGAACGGCTCTCGGTGCCGTCCTCGGAGAGTGGGAAGCCCAAAGCATCATCTGAACGGGAGCAAAAGGGCTTCAGCGTGGTGCACCGCAGGCAGATGGGTATGTGCTGCCCCCACCTTGTGGGCTTTCATGGAGCCTCTGCACCATGGGGCAGTGCTGGGGGTGGGGGGTGAGGGGCTGTTTGGGAAGCACCTGTTTGCTGCTGAGCTGATGGCAGCAGTAGGGTCATAGAATCATGGAATCAACCAGGTTGGAAAAGACCTTTAAGACCATCAAGTCCAACCGTTCCCCAGCACTGCCAAGGCCACCACTAACCCAGGGCACTGAGGCCTTGTCTACACGGTTTGGGAACACTTCCAGGGACAGTGACTCAAGCACTGCCCTGGGAAGCCTGTTCCAATCCCTGAGCACCCTTTGGGAAAGGAATTGTTCCTAATCTCCAGTCTAAACCTGCCCTGGTCCAGCTTGAAGGCATTTCCTCGTGTCCCAGTAACAGCTACAGAACACAGTGGGAGCAGCTTCACTTGGTCTTAATGAGCCCACGATGGCTCTGGTGGGGAGCATTTAGGAGGAGAGGAGGAGGTACAGTGGATGCTTCTGTCCCCATTGTCTCTATCCACCCTGCAGGACACATTTCCTTTTTGCCATCCCATGTGTTCTCAGCCTCAAAACTCAAATACAGGTAGATGATGGAGGCCAAGGTCTTGTAAACTCCTGTCCCATCCCACCATCCACCAGGATCAGCTCTCAAAGCTGTGATGCCTCTGGTTGCTCACTGCAAGCAGCCTCCTGGCTTTTCCCATTTCACTGGCTTCCCCTTTACTGATTAATCTGAGAAATCTGCTTTTGCCTCAGGGCTTTCCAACCCCTTCCGAGGGCTTCTGAAGCTGGGCACCCTGGAGCGGAGAGGAGCCATGGGGATATGGAAGGAGTTTTCCTGCGAGCTGTCACCACTGGAGCTCCGGCTCCTCCTGGACCACGAGGACCGTATCTGTGTCGAGAGCTACTCCCTGCTGCGGTGCGAGGCGCTGGCGCTGACGCACTCGGACGGGCGGTTTGAGCTGGTGTTCCTGGGGAAGAAGCTCTACCTCCGAGCTCCTTCTCGAGACGAGGCCGAGGACTGGTTGGACAGGATCCGCGAGGCGCTGCACAAGTGCCGGCCTCAGCTGGAGGAGGAGCAATGGGAGACACTGGAGTATCCAGAAGATGCTGGTGAAGGCCAGCCCGTGCAGAGCGACTCCACTGCTCTTCTCCAGTACAGTGACGTGCCTGCAGACAGCTTTGACTGGACCCCAGCCCATGAACCAGAGCTAGATGCAATAAAAGAGGCTGTTCTGTACGTGGACGTAGACAAAACCTGGGTCCCTTTTATTTTTTCCCTGTCTCTAGAAACTTTAAAGTGCTTTAAAGTCAGGAACAGTGACAAAATTTTGAGCAACAGTTATGGCATAGAGACCATCCAGGACATCCTGCCAGACACAAGCCTTGGAGGACCTGCCTTCTTCAAGGTAATCACCTCCAAAGCTGTCCTGAAGCTGCAGGCTGAGAATGCAGAAGAAGCAGCCTCGTGGAGGGAGCTGGTCCGAGCAGTGCTCATGTCCTACCTGGAGAGTGCAGAGGAGGCTCTGACGCTGGGTGGCAGCTTGGACGGGCACTCCCAAGTTGTCCTGAAGAACATCGTGAAGGAAAACGGCTTCTTGTTGCAATACCTGGTGGCCATCCCCATGGAGAAGGGCCTGGACTCTCAGAGCTTCATCTGTGCAGGTATATGTTGGGTTGTCCAAAAACCCAGCTCCATCTTCATAAAACCATAGAATGGTTTGTGTTGGAAGGGACCTTAAAGCTCAGTCAGTTCCAATCCCCTGCCATGGGCAAGGGCACTTTCCACTGGACCAGGTTGCTCCAAGCCTCGTCCAGCCTGGCCTTGGGATGAACAGCCACAGCTTCTCAGGGATGATGTTGAGTTCATTTAGTTTAACAAGGTGACATCAAATTAGGAATGCCCTTGGCCATGCCAGCCCATCGCAGGCCAGCTGCTGGTTCCCCATCTAAACCCCAGGTAGCACCAGAGCCCCATGTCCCCACTCAGTGGCACATCTGGGGGTCTGGGTGCTCAGGGTGGGTTCCCAAAAGCTGCATCCCTATTCCACCCCAGCACAGATCTAATGGGGCTGCTGCTGGGCTCCTGTTTAAGATGCTTATGGTATAGCCAGTGGAGGTCTTGGCTTGAAAGCAACCTTAGGTGGACCAAGAGGCCCAGGACTCTCCAACCCGTGGGGAAAGTGCACTCAAGAACAAATGCTGTTTTTCCAGTAAGGCAGCACAGGAGTGAACATTGCAATGGGTGTGACGAGCTGGTTTGGCAAAACATTCCTTTAATCTCCCACTAACCCCTCCCAGCACCCGGGTGATGCTCGGTTCACGGGACACCACTCACTGACCTCCCTGGGAGGTACCATTTGTTCTTTACCTTGGGAAGTTAATTAAACTTCAGGTCTCTCTCCTGCATCAATGGTATTTCTTGTACCCTCCAGCAGGTGTTTTGTTTCCTCTTAATTTCTCTTCTTTTTTTATATATATATTTTTTTTCCACTGCATTTAGTTTTACCTTCCCCTCCAGGCTCTGTCGTGCATCTTCTACCTACCAACAGATGGAAGCAGCAAGCTGGAAAGACAAATTCCCAGCTTTTATGTGTAGGTTTTTTTGGGGGTCTCTGCCTGCCCAGCTTTCTCCTTCCAGCCTGGTGCAGGTTTCCTTCCATGGCATTGCTTAAGAAGCATTAAAAGCCTTCAGAGAGCAAGCCCTGACCTCCATGATTTTTGGGAGGAAGCAGTCCAGCTACCCCAAAGTGCAAAGGATGGGGTGGATTCCTCCTGACTTACCCACTCCAATAACAAAGGTTGTTTTTTGTTGTTTAATCCATCCTGACCTCATCCCTGGCAGACCTGGGTTTGGTACCCTGTGGTGTGACAGCAGGAAAGAAGAGGGTTGAATGAAGGCAAAATAGGACAAAGCTACTGGTGGAGGGGATGGGGCAGGCAGGTAGGGTATTGGATCTTCCCTAAAGCACTGGGATATTTCCTTTTCCTTAAAGGAAAAGCACTGGGATATTCACTTTTCCTAATTAAAAAAAAAAAAAAAAAAAGTCAAACAATTGAACCACTTAAAGGATAAAAGTGGATTTAGGGATAGTCCAGACTCTTTTTTAATGGAGAGGAAGTGAAGTGGGTCTCTTGCATCATTGTGATCACAGGGAAGGGCTTGGGCACCTCTCACTGAAGTGTTTTAGCAGATCTCCAACCCTTCCAAATGCTTTCTTGTTCCATTCCCTCCTCCCAAAAGTTTCTCCCCCCATCCTGGCAGTGATGGGAACAGGCTCCTGGGACAGCACAGGTCCCCTCTCATCGCCTGCTCCCTGCTCCCTGCAGGCTGCTCCAGGCAGATCGGCTTCTCCTTCGCCAAGCCCAAACTCTGCGCCTTCTCTGGTCTCTACTACTGTGACAGTTGCCACCGGGATGATGAGACAGTGATTCCCTCACGCCTCATCCACAACTGGGACCTGGCAAAGCGAGGGGTGAGTCTGGGCTCGGTCAGCGCACGGAGCAGGGAAATGCTCCTGCATCTGCCTACACTTCCTGAAGGTCCATCTAAACATTTCCGCCATCAGCAGACGTGGACATGTCCACCTTAGACCTTCCCCCGAGCCTGTTGGGCTGCTTCTGGGTGCATGCCCACCTTTTGCCTCTCTCTGTCCCAGGTTTGCCAGCAGGCTTTCAAGTTCCTCAGCCAGATCCGTAACCAGCCACTGATCGACCTGAAGTTGGTCAACGAGAGCCTCTACGACCACGTGGAGAGGATGGGACGGATCCTCCGGAGCAGGGAGCAGCTGAAGCTGCTGGGGGATTATCTCATCATGTGCCGCAGCGGGGCCCTGAAGGAGCTGAGCAAGCGGTGAGGTGCCTCTCCGGGTGATATTCCTCCTGTATCCCCTTCTTTGCACCCCGATGGTGCCCCTCATCTCTCACTGTTGCAGCAGGGAGCGATGCTGCCAAGGCATGGGCTGGATTTTAGCTCCGTGTCGCCTGTTCTAAGGAATTCTCCATCTGTTGGCACATGTGACTCAGGAAACACCTTCCTGAGCGAGCTGCTTCTGGTTGGACAGGAAACACCTGGGAAAACAGATGAGAGATTGATTTTCTTTTCTTTTTACCCCCTTTGAAATGCTCTCACACGATTTCCAGTAGCAGGATTTGGGATGTGGGGCATGATGTGAACATCTGTGGTGATGTTCTTCAAGAGTCTGCATCATCCAGGCTCCTCCTTGCTCCAGAGCTGTTGGAGATGTGGTGGAAACCATCTACCACCTTCCTCTCTTCTTTTCTTTTGCAGGCTTGATCACAGGCACTACCTCTTAGAGTATCCCCACAAATACAGCATCGCTGACCTGAGGCAGGTGAGAGCTTTGTGTGGTCACAGGGGTTTTGCTGGTGAAAAATCCCAGGTTTTGTCCATGGAGATGCTGTGTTGAGTGTGGTGCTTCTTCAGCTCTGAGAGCTACAGTGATGACACAGGATGAATTGTTTCACCTCTGTTTAAGCCAACATTGCTGCTAGCGCCGCTCCAAACAAACCTGTGTCTGCTGCAAATAATGTTGGAGGTGACTGGGAGGTGGGTTTTGCACTGATTCCCAGCTTGTGGGTGCTGCTCTCAGCCCTCTCCGGGGTCCCATTGCAACGCAGGCACAGGGGGTGTGGGTTGTTTCTGGAGTTTGTCTTCATGTGGCAGCACAAAGAATGGATGTGACATGGGGTTTGTGCAGTGCAAACCCAGCAGGAGGCACTGCATGAGTGCCTGAGCTGTCTCTGCTCTGCAGATAGCTGATGGTGTCTTTGAGACCTTCCTGCAGTCTCTGCTCCAGTTCGCTTCCCACCACGTCTACAACTGCGACCTGTGCACCCAGCGCGGCTTCATCTGCCAGATCTGCAACAGCAGCGACATCATCTTCCCCTTTGAATTTGACACTACCACCAGGTCAGTGACATCTCCATCACCCCCTCACCCCCACTGCGAGGCCACCCGAGCTTGTGGCCTGCCTGTTCCCAGGAGCCTGGACCATCCCTGGGTCCCTTTTGGGGACACATAACCTTGGGCTGGCCTAGAAATAGCTCTCAGCTGGTTGTGCATCCTCGTGAGATGGGGCAGCCACAGCTTCTCTGGGCACCCTGTGCCAGCGCCTCAGCACCCTAACAGGGAAGAGCTTCTGCCTCAGAGCTCATCTCAGTCTCCCCTCTGGCAGGTTAACCCCCCCCTGCCTGCAGTGGGGTTCAGTCGCTGAGCAGATGTTGGGATTGGGTGGGGAGGGGTTTATGCCACCGTCAGAGTTTTTCTAAAGAAATAATACCAAACCCTTCCAGCCCAGGAGCCTGATCCATCGTTACGTGGAGAGAGACACTCAGTGGTTATTTGGGAATGAGTGTAATCCTGACAGAGAAGTTTTACTCTCTGCATGGTCTTGCTTTGCCTGGCAGTAACATCCAAAAGCTGCAGAAGATACCAACAGGACCAGGATCCTCAGGCACCCCATGCATTATGTGGTTGCAAATATTCCCAGGGTGGCTGAGCAGGATTGTATCGTGCTTGTTATCAAGGACATCCCCATGGGAACAGTTTTCCCTTAGGAAAGGGTCACAGGGGCTCTGGCAGGAGCAGCTCCACTTGCAGCCAGCCTCTGTCCCACTAAGGCTCTGCTTGATCTGTTGTTGATCTCTTTGCTCCTGGAGGAGGAGGTTGGGCAGCAGGAAAGCAGCTCAACCAACATCCTCACCAAGCTCAACCCGGCTTCCTGCCCCTCTGCCTGCCCGGGGCACAGCCCGCTGTGGGGTCACGCTGTCACCCGCTGCAGGATGCGCCTGAAACACCTCCTGACAATAAACCTTCTGCTCCCAGCAGCAGCCACCACTTCCTGCAGCCCCTACACTGGCAGGAGGAGGCAGGAGATGCTGCTCACTCAGGAGCACGTGGGGTAAAACCCACCCCTTGGCTTTGCATGTCCCCCCAACACGGCTGCTAATCCAGGAGCCACAGGAAAAGATATTCCACTGGGAAAATGTGTGGTGCCAGGCAGCACCCTCATAGAATCACAGACACAGACTGCTTTGGGTTGAAGGAACCTTAAAGCTGATCCACTTCAAACCCCCTGCCATGGGGGCACGCTCCGCTCTCCGCTCATGCCTTTGGGAAAGCAAGGTATGCAGCAGTATTCTGGTTGGACCTTGGGTAACATGGTCTCTCAGGGGTTTGGTGTCTCACCCATGCACCGTTGCTCTTGTGCGGTCCCTGCTCCAAAAGCAAACTGCAAACCTCGCTCAGCATCTCCTCTTTGATGTGCAGCACCCGCAGTGCTGGCGGCTCCCCACAGTGCTGCTTCCGGGCTCAGCTTTTGCTCTCAGCTTGCAAGAGGAGGATCTGTAGCTTGAGGAGTTGCTGCTACTGCCAGCAAAGTTCATCCTGAGCTGGAGCTGGCTCCTGCCAGCGCTCTTTGCTCAGTGAGTGCTTGGTGAAAACAGATGGGGAAGTGAGAAGTTCCTGAGCAGGATTTGAGCTGTGCCCGCAGAGTGTGAGCAGCAGGTCATGGAGGGGATTCTTCTCCTCTGCTGCACTCTGGGGCGGCCCCCTACAACCCTGGTCTCG